ATAAACTTTCCACATGCCTTTTTTTAAATATTAAAGTCAGTTTCTGGGAACTTGGTCTAAAACAATGACCTTTTCAGTTCAGTCTTCCTGGACATATTATATAAAAGTCTAATCTCCTATCCTCTCTACCACTCCCATACTCCTTATATCCATTCTCTGTTTTGTGTCTTAACATTCATTACCATCTATAATTCTATGTACTTTAAATATTTATCATGTTTATTGTTTGTGTGAACCCCTTACTTACTCACACACTAGAATCTAAGTCCTATGAGAGGAGGTATCTACTTTGTTTACTGCTGAATCTCCCATGCTTGGTACATAACAATTGTTGAATACACTGATTGCTGAATAAATGAATCCTACAGTTCTAGAGGTAATATTTCACACGCTTAATCATTTGGGAAGGAAAACCATGCTTTTCCAAAGTGGAGCAAACAATATATATATATATATATATATATATATATATATATATATATATATATATATATTGATCATTCACTATTCACCAATTATTTCAATAAGCAAAATTGTCTTCTATGTACTCTCACTTTAGAGTCTGCCAACAGACAAGAAGAACTAAAGGGCACAATCACTGGAAAGAGTCCTGCCTAGCTAATGAGGAAGGACAAACTGACTGGCAGAAGATTTCTCTTAGGAATTTGGAAAGTGAAGAATTCCCTAGTGGGTGGTAGTAAATGTGAAACATGATGGAGAATATACATATTTATTTATTTTTCTTAAAGAGGGAGTACTATGGAAAAAAGTCAACTATGAAAGAGCAAGATATTACTAGTGAGAAAGAAAGCACGAGTGAAAGCTAAGTTGGGACATCGAGTTAGGAAATGAACAAAAGCCCAACTAAAGTAGAGAAGGTGTTGGGAAACGAGAAGCAATGGGAAATATATTTGCATTGGGTTGTGCGAACTAGGTTACTGATTGTATGGAGGCAATATGAAATAAAGACTTCTGGGGTTTTTTTTATAAGAAAAATATAATAATAAAAGTTGGGTTTTAGAAAATTTAACCTGGTACATACAGTTTAGACTGGGATAGTCAGTGACTAGAGTTAAGAAACCTAAGTAAGACATGGTTAAAATAATCAGGACTGAATTTACTGAGGAACAAGATTAAGGGAGCAGGTAGTGGAAATGTTGTATTAAAGAGACATATAAAAGAAATCTTAAAAGAGACAGGATTTGGGACAGGAAGAGGCTCCTTAGGAAATAATCGTGACTCTCATCTTCTGTGTCAATTAAACTTGTAACACTTTTTATATCCCATAATTATTACATACAATCATGCCCTAATCCATAAAGACAAGTATGTAGAATAAGTAAAGGTTCGACTCCAGTCGACTCCAGTGAATAAAAATACATATTTGTATTACCTCTTAATACATAAGAGCTGCTTCACGTTGGCACTGTAAACTTATTGCACCATCTGAATGTTCTAATTTGAAATGGCGAGTTTTGTTTGCCCTATTCCCTCAAGATCAAAAGACTTCTCTCAGGAAGTCCCCAGAGATATGAGCTATCTGGAGGAAATACCATGCACAGAGCTCCTAGAAGTACACATTTGAGCACCATTAACAGAGGGAGGGTTTGCCTCAACTTTCATGGGAATATACAAGGATATAAAAGGGCATTGCTAAGGCAGCCAGGACTCAAACCACCCAGGGACCCAATGCCTGAAGTCAACAACTCCTATAAGATATGAAAACAAAATAAAGAATAATACAGATGGCAGCCTGTATTGACAATTTCCAGAAGGAAATTGAGCCATTGGAGCCACGTATTGTAGTCAGCCACATGCCACATACTCAGGAGAAATCCAGCTTGGTGACTGAGGAAGCCCAGGTAATACTGGCAGAAAAGGCATCTCCAAAAACGTAGGTTGAAATTTCAGTATTAAAAGCAGGTGGGACATAATTGCATGTCATCTCAAGCTAGGTACTGAATTATAAACTTAAAACAGTGATTAATCAAACTTTTTAAAGGCTAATGTCAATTTCTGAAGATTCCACACAGACCCTGGCCCAGAATAGCAAGAGGAAAAACAACTTGCTCCACGCAGGCTTGTGGGATTTCAGTGACCTTTAGGCCTGAGGTCTCATTCTCTGTATTTTACCGTAAGTAAGCTTTTCTTTCTTGCACAGTCTGGTGCCAAAAGAAGATATTCCCAATCAGGCTTATGCTGTGATACAAAAAAAACAAAGCAAACAAAAAATGCTGCAAAGATTATAGAAGTCATTCTCAGTGAATAAAAGACCATGATGCTGCTGCAACGCAAACAATGTCTTCTGCCTTCTGTGTGTGTGCATGGGTTGTACGCGTGTGTGTGCACATGGGTTGTACATGTGTGTGTGTGCATAGGTTGTACATGTATGTGTGTGTGTGCACACACATGTGTACACAGGGCAATCTACCTCTTTTAGCTGGCCAGTATATAGAAGTCTAACATGATAGTGTCTTGGATAGATTTTTGTTTTTAAGAACAAACAGAATTTATGGCCATGTTTTTTCCTGAATGAAAAGCATCCCATTTTCCTCTTGTCATTTTCTATCAATTTTTCCTCACTATGGAATAAGGTTTAACAATAGAAAGGGAGTGTGCTAGTGTTATTTTTAAGGCTGAGGGGAAAAAAAGCATACATGTTGGGCTAACAGTTGTTATTGTATATATTGACATTATTCCAGACTAACATTGGGCTTTTTCATTGTTTTTTGTTTGTTTGTTTGTTTTGTTAGTCACTCTAAAATTTCTAGGGTATTAAGATAAACACTGAACCTTGGGAAGAAACTCTAACCATATGGTCATCTCATCATAGTACAAAAAGGAAAAAGTTCTCTAGGTCTCTGTCAATTCATTAGCAAGAAATAAATTTTCAACATTTCCTATGGCTAGCACTGTGCCAAATACTGTGGAGGACATCTAAGCTAATAAGATATTGTCCCTACTCTAATGGAATTTATTATTTTATTTCCATCATTTTCTTAGGTTCAGAAAGCTATAATCCTGAGTGAAGCATCATAGACTAACAATCCAGCTCATTAGTAAGGCTGTGTCCCAGGCACCCAGGGGATAGGGCTGAGAAAGGAAACTTTCTTTTCTCTCTGGTTCTCTCCAAACTCCCTCCCTTAAATATAGATACAACTTGTATTTTATGTCAGGATTTTTTAGTCACTGATGAAAAATATCACATAATAATCTAATAAAGTTGATGACTGAACATGTTGGATTACGCAGAAAAATGTGAAAGTTTATAATTTTATACAGAGCAGAAAATGCATACTTCTCCTGAAAGAGTTGGTCAGTTTTAGTCAGTAACCCACTTAGGAACTCTTACTAAAATGCATACTCTTTCAAAGCCAAAAAGGGTACATTTACTTGAATACAAATTATAGAAAGTATCCAGTCAGCTCATAATTGCCATGGAATATACAAGAACCTTGTATATTCAGGGTATTATGTATACTCAATTTTGATATAAAAACAACAGGCAAAAATATATTTATTTTAATGTTTGTGTCCTTTTGGGTTGCTGTCAGAGTGGACTCTGCTCACGGGTGAGTATAAATAAACTAGTCAGTGCAAATCTTGTTCCCCTGGGGCAGGCCCTTTGCATTGTAAAAGCAATACTACAGGATTTGCATGAATTCTTGCATACCTACATTTCCACGTCTTTATACTATCATAACATGGCTTTGGAGGGATGAAAGTTAGAAAGTTTTGACTATGCTTATGTGTCTGAAGCTCAATATTTTATGTGAAAAAGTAAACAAAGCAGGCACATGTATTTAATTTGGAAGCTTATTTCCTTCTTGTATGAATATGCAAAAACCCACCTGTTTAAACTTTGCACATGATTCCACAAGAAGAACAGCGCTGACATGCTGATGGACTGACTATATTATAGAATTTCTTGGTTAGGTGCATTCACAGGTCCCAAAATGGAAATTGAAAGATTTGCCAGTTGCCACAGGTAGCCAACTCTCTTTGTAAGGAAAATATTGATTGACTACCTAACGAGTACTTTATGCTTCATATAAACCCAAAACAATGTACAACATAATCTCTGTCCCCAAGCTTGCACATCTTCAAGAAGTATATGATATTTATTGTGGCAATTTAAGGCATGAATGGAACGTATTTGGCTATATTGACAGTTCTTACTTTTCAGGAAGAACCAAATTACCTACTGTTTCAAAGAACATTGCTTTTTATTCCATTGGTACCAAATCAATGAAAGTCCCTCCAGCACGACACAACAGCTGTTACTTAATGGACCAAAAGAGTTAATGCACTATCTCTAAATTGAATACAGTTCAGTGTCTACACCAAGTGCGTCCTCGATTAACGTTGATGGATTGACTTTTTTACGAGCAGTAAAAGCTCAATTTATACACATGGATCCTTTGAGATACAAATTAAGAATTTAAGATCACACTGTGTTGAATTCTATGTTTGTGGCAATATAAAAATATGTACAAATACAAGAACTACTTCTATTTCTGTGTTTTAGTTGTTTTCTAGTTAACTGACAGATATTAAGAGATTCTCAATAATTTTGAGTCATAATCTAAGCATAGTTACACTATAAATTTGGATGATTCAACATAAATATTCTGATAGCAATATTGGAGTGATTATGAATATTTAAACTCAAATATCTGAAGATCAAATATAAGCTTATTGTTAGTTATAATAACTTAAAATCAGTCATAAAGGTTGCCTATTATTGTGAAACATTCCATTTGAACTACTCATTGCAGATTATCTTTAGTGTATAGATTTTGACAACTTTCTACATCATTGTATGTTATTCTTTAAGGAAGATGAGCAGGATTTTGAAGATGTGCCAGAAGTGGCCACTTAATTTGATCAGGTGACACCCTTTGATCAGGTGACAGCTCAGAAAGCATCTCCTTAGTCAAAGCAGAATCTTAGAGTGAGGGGGTGGGCTTGAGTACTTCAGCAGAGCACGGCTCTTACAGCCTATGTTCAAACCAGAGCTGAGCTCCACAGCTGAAAAAGTTTGAGCTAATAAACTGACAAGTATCTAACAACACAAGATGGGAAGCGGAATTAGTTCAGAGAGCAAGGAGTCAGCCAAAAGGTCAAAAGAACTAGAGAAAAAGCTTCAGGAAGATGCTGAGCGAGATGCAAGAACTGTAAAGTTGCTGTTATTAGGTAATTATTTTTTTCTTTTTACTTTCAAAATCCTGAAGTTTTCTTCAGTTGTGATGTACTGACTTTCTCAAACTTTAAAATTAAGTGTATTACCATATGGGATATTTATTATGGAAATGTGTTTGAAAATTAGATAAATGTTTTGTGTGCTTTATAAATATTTACTTGTTTTGTTCAATATTTTATTACATGCTTTTTGTTATGCAAACAGACAAATATCTACCAGATGACTCAATTTCCCTATGTCACTAATACAACTTACTATTAAGAGAAAACATATACATTTATTATTTTATTGCAGCCTAATCATTTCTTGAATGTGAGCTTTTTAATGCTGAAAAACAATCCTTTAATTACAAGTGATAAATATTTATGTTATTTTGCTTGAACAGACATATATTGAGTTGCTTGATATCCAAGTTAATATGTTATTTAATTACTTGTGCTGTTAAAACCAATTAGTCGCAAGTTATTTAAAGAGTAATGATAAGGTACTTTAAATTATATTAATAATATTATTATGGCTTCTGAATACTACCTGTGATAGTGTCTGTATACTTGAAAAATACTCCATTTAAACATTTTAGGATATTTATACATTCATTCAGGTGAGGAATTATGTATTTCTATCTTTTCATTCCCTCAAAACTCAGCACAATGTCTTACCACAACTCTACATTTGATAACTTTTCAATGAATTGAAATATGTCACACATTTTTCTAAACATAAAAAAAATTCACATGTGGCAGTTACAGGAGAGAAATATATTTTTAAAATGAAAATAAAGACCTACAAAAAATACAAGAGCTTTAATTTAACCCTAGTTGTGTGTCTCTCCTGCTCTTAGTTACACACGAAAGGACTTAATTTGAGGATTGTGAAATTTCACCCAACAAAACGTCCTCACTTTATAAGTGTCCGTTTGCTGTGTTTAATTTGCTCCCACTGGCAAGAGTATCTCAGAAGCCAGCTGTGGGGTTACCAGCACTTGCCCCTCAAAGGAATAAAAATGTTCTTCCCCTTCATGCTCAAGTTCTGTGGCTGCACACTCAACCACAGCACTCGAAAGTGACAACCTAGAGGTTGGTGACTTAGAAAGATGTTGGGGTCAGCTCTCATGAAGCTGGCAAATACATTTTCCCTAAAACTCCAGAGCATTCTATGAGGCTTTGATCAAGAGTGAAAGTAGGGCCGGCCAAGTGGCACGATGGTTAAGAACTGGCTTGGGATGCCAGAGGGCCCCGGTTCAGATCCCACATATGAGGGCCAGTGACACTGCCCTCTACAGCTAAGATGCTGAACAACAGCTCAACCTGGAGCTGGGCTGCCATGAGTCGCTGGCCACCGATAGGCTGCAGTTCCTGTGGCAGTGGGTTGCCATGGGCTACCGTGTGTAGCCAGCAGCCAGCGTGAGCAGCCAGCAGCCAGCGTGAGCGGCTGTCCAGAAGCCAGCGACTGATCTGCCTCGCCCAGGAAGAGCTCAATGATGGTGCCAACTTGGGCCAGTGAAGCAACGTCCTCCACAACTAGACTGAAGAACAAAACGATGGCAACTTGTCTGTTCCCCTTCCCCCAATTCCCCAGCGCTGTTCCCATCCCCCCAACTCCCCAATAAAAATCTTAAAAAAGCAAAAAAAAGTGAAAGTAAGGTGAACCTAGAAAAAACAAGTAAAAGTGAGAGGGAAAGCCAATCATTTCCTGCAAAGGCATTCTGTGTCCCTCTTGTATTAAAAACAATGGTGTAAGAGTCGTGATAAAATACATTCAAAATCTCTGTTTGAATAAAATTTCAAAAAAATAGACATTTTCAATATACTATGTTCTTTTTTGTTTGTTTTTGTTTTTGTTTTGTTTTGTTTTAGATTAAAATGGTGGGTTAGATCAGAAGAAAGGGTATCTTTTGGTATAAGAGATATCAAAGAATAATTAGTGGTACTATTACATCTTTTGCTTTCCCAAGACAGTCACAATTTCATGAATTCAGTTTCCGGGCAGAAGAATTCCTGTTTTTAACTTTAGCTAGGTCGATAATTATTTTACTTATTCCTGGTTTTCTATTAAAATACTGCAAAAGGCTGCTGTGTCTGCATTCCCATCACCTTCATCTAGAATCTCTTCCCCTCCCACCTCAGCCTAGATGACCACCCATGTAAAATACAGTGATCAGTTATCTCCAAATCTCACTGAACACACATGTATTCTCTTCTACTTCAACTAGTTTTAAGGAAGTTGTGATATTCCATTTTCATTTAAGGCTAATTTCAGTCTTTGTGCTATAAATTTTATCACCTTCCATAGCTTATGAATTTTACTTTATGGATTATTTTGTCCCTGCCATTTAAAAAAAGTATTCTCTACTAGGTCTTTCTTCTTGGTGTATATCCTTTCTGCATTAGCCTAAAAAACGTTGACTCAATAACCCCCTGAATTCACCTTATATGGGTACCTTTTAAAATCTTTTTGTATTGAAATACTTCTCCAAGAAGTCCATGCTCACTGCTTCTATTTTCTTACATTCTACATTCCTTTCAGTTACTTGCGATCTTTTACACCCTTTTCTCCACTTAAAAAAAAAAAAATCTCTCACAGAGCTCTGAAAACTGCCAATGCAGAAAATTCAGGCCTCAATAATTTCGAATCTCTCTTCTTTCTTAACTCCTGTAACACCACAATACTTTCTCATTTTTAACATCCTTTCACTCCCCACTTCAAAGCTTGCTTCTTTTCTCCATTCATTAGTGGTTTCACTCACCAAGTTTTGTCCTTGAACCTTTGTATTTTTTCAGTTTATACTCTCTCTTGGGGACCTCATTTCAGGGCTTAACTATCACTTCTAGAATGACTCTAACATCCTTCCTTTTGCCCAGTTCTTGATCCATATTTGCAAATTTCTATTATGTATCAGTGAATTGATTGCACTTTGGGAGAACTCAAAATAATTTTCCAAGTTTATTTTGCTGCCCATTCATCTCCAAGCTTTATGTTTTATGAAGTCCCCTATGATAATTTTTTCCCATTATATCAACTCAACATTTCTATCTTCCTCGACTCCTTTTCTGTGACCTTTTGTCACCAAGTTTAGTTTTAGCTCTGTCTTTGATAGAATGGATCTCATAGTCCCCACTGCTTCTGTTATTTTTTTTCAATCTACAAGAAAGCCCTATGAAATAGATATTATTATTTTTATTATTTAGAGAAGGAGAACATGAGAACTCAAGAAGGTAATTTAGTTTCTAAGATCACAAGTTAGTTTACAGAAATACAAAGCTTTTTTTAAAATTTTTACCTGTGTCAATTTTAAATTAGTATTTGCATTATAAGTACTATGAAAACAGAGAACATGTCTCTCCTTGTTCTTCACTGTGTTCCTACCTGGCACAGCGTACTTCGCACAGGAAAGCATGCATGTGGAAGGCATGAAAGGATGACAGAATCAGACTCCAAATGATTGCTGTTAATTGTTCATGGTGATTAAAGCATAGACATGCATTTGGCATGTGGAAATAGAGCCAGAAAAGAGCCATACATGCCACTCCTTAAGGACTTTGTTTTTCAACTCAGTAGGAAGATATTGATAGGTTTTAAGAATCAGTGAGAATGATAATACTTGGATATTTGTGTCAAAACATTTTTGTGGCTACACTATGAGACAAAGATTTTATGATGAAACATAGGTAGGCCAATTAGGTAATTGTTACTGCTATGCAAATACTTGATGAGATTATAAATTAAGGCAGAAATTACAAGCTGGGAAGTAATTTTTGATGGATATTCAGAGACAAAATTAACAGAACTTGGTGGCTGACTACATTAAATGAGAGGAATGATTGAGGGTAGAACCAGGTATAGGGATTGTTTTATTCATCATTATGTGAAATACAGGACATTAGGTTGGGGAAGAAATGATTTGGAACATTCAAATTTGTGATGTTTGTAGCACAACCAAGTAGAGATAACTATTAAATAGGGTTGGGGGGAGTTATTCCAAGAATGCCTGGTTGAAATATTATTAAATCATCAGTTAATATTGTTCATTACATTATCAAATTAAAGGAGAAAAATAATCATCATAAGTGTCAGGAGATGTGCATATGTGATAAACTTCTTTCATTCCTTCCTGATAAACTATTTGATATATTTATCAAACTATAAAGTTACAGGATGTAAAATACAGCTTAGGGAATAGTCAATGGTTTTATAATAGCTATATATGATGTCAGAGGGGTACTAGACTTGGGGGGCATTATCACTTGGTGAGGGGTGTAAATGTCTAATCATTATGTTGTTTTGTGCACTTGAAACTAAGAAGAAAAAAGGAAAAAAACTATAAATAGAAGGTAATTCCCTTAACCAGATAAACAGTATGTAGAACAACCTTCAGCAATTGTCATACTTAATGGGGAACATTTTGCATTGTTGACTACAGATAGTGAACAAGGACTTATGATGATTAATGGGAATGACATAGTTTCCTGCCATTGACCTTCTTCCCTTCAATGTTTTATCAGGGATTTGGGTGAAGGTGGATAAGGCAGCATTTCACATTCGAATAAGTATCAGAATTAAGAAGGATATAGTGACAGACAATGTCAACATCCCAAGTGATCTCAACTAGCAGAAATGCTTAGCCCAAATGAGCAAAGTGGAATTTAACAGATACCTTAAATTAGGGTTCAAAATCAATTATACCCAGGTAGTATGTGAGATAATCTGTTTGCTAAGAGGTGATGTGAAAAAGAAATTATGTGAAAATGTGAAATTTGAATTACTATAAACCCAATATAAGTAACGAATGTGATAAAGCTACAAAGAAAAGATAAAGAAGGCAAACTAATCATGGCCCTTATTAAGAAAAATGTATTTAAAAACAAGTACCGGTATCAGGGCAGACTTAGGTTGCACCCTTATTCGACTACATCAGAAAATCAGTTCTGTTGAGAAATCTATCTACAGTAAAATTTTCAGTCCCAGTGTTTCAGAAGGACATTGGCTCTTGCATAGCGTGTGGTTCAGAGGGCAAGGGGTCTAAAAGTCATGTTCCAAAAGAAAATATTAAAATAACTGAACATTTTATACTTGACAAGGCTCTTAGAAAAAAAGAGAGGGTGCTTTGTATATGAGGAAAGGTTGAGAGCTCACTATATGTTAGAGTATTTCTAGGTATTTTGTATCTGTAATAAATCTTCCCAAACCTTAAGAGGCAGATATTAACAACCCAATTTTATAAAAGAGGATACTAACTCTCAGATTAAAGAGGATCTAAACACCCAGTCATAGTCAGAAATGAGTGCAAGCCCATATTTGTTTAATTCCAAAACATGAGTATTTTCCTACTAATTTTCCTACCCTCACTCTCAGCTGTTTGAAAGGTTGTCGTGTGGGAGAGACATAGTTTTGTTGTTGCTCCGAGAGAGAGTAATAGTGAGTGGAACAAAAATCAGTTGCTTCAAAAAAGACTACCTAAAGAATCTTTCATGCCAGCAGCCTACCAACAGATGACAAGCAGACACACCAAACCAATATGTCTGTGAAAGTGCACTTCTTTCATGTTAATTTTAAAATGGTGAATTCAAAATTATTAGTAAGTGTTGAAATCATTTGTATTGACATTACCAGTGCATACTTTAAAAAGAAAGCAACATTACAGCAGTAATATGGAAGTCAGGAGACAGTTTCTTTGTTTTAAAGTATTAGGTTGTCGGAAAAGCATGATGCATTTTTGCAATGAAAAACATTGAAAAAATACATCATGACTTTTCTGACTACCCAGTAGATCCAGGACTTTCGATGAGTATTGTAATCTCTACTAGACACACTTTTTTCATGCTAGAATGAAGAGATTTTCAAAGCTGATTGACTTCTGAGGTTTCTTTCTTGTACCATTATGTGATTTTTAAGACTGTCTCCAAAAAATCTTCTGCATGATAGTAAGTTAATATATTATTCTCATTTTGCCTATTTAAAAAGTTGTACCAAATGAGCAATCAAGCCTTGAGTGTGTTCAGCTGAAGTTCAGTTCCAGGCATAGGTATCATGTAGCTTTAAAATTGCTTTTGATATTTCCAAATAAAAATGTGGAATAAAGCCCCTAATTTATTCATTTTAAAATTTATTCTTATGAAGAATAAAACAATTTATAAGTATTAAAGTATGAATTAAGTATAATTTTAATATTTAACTTTTTGAAACATTATTTACTTCAAATAAATGCATAATTTGTTTAAAGTCCCTTGATACCTCTTGACCCAGAAAATAATTTTAGTGATGACTACAGTTTGGAAGGAAGAAATTCTTTCAGGATGCCCTCAGCCTATGCAAACATGCTATTTTGATATCTATATTTGGCACTGTAACATGATCTTACAAAAATGGAATGATTATTGTGAACTAAGACCTAGAATCATTGTGAGAATGGGACTCAATAATTTATTTTTGAAATAGCTTTGCAATAGAGTTCCAAATAATAAATGAGATTTTGGGGAAGTTGGCTTTTCTTCAAGAATTTTTCAGTTACTACTGTAGTTGACTATACTGGACCTTCATATAAAAGACAGATGTTAGTACGTACGTATAATAAGGAATGATCCAGAAACCTTCTGTAAAGTCTTCCAAAGGAAATATTAATATTTTGTACATAGTTTCATTAAAAACCCTAACCTATTTTTAAATGATTGATTATTCTGCTGACCTGAGACACATCATGAATGACCAGCTAAATTATAGAGAATTATTATTTAATAATATGCCCTTTAGCCTCAGAAATATTTTTGAAACTTGCCAGGTGTCACCAGTCTGATTACCAATTGACCATATTTATGAGGTATAGAAGATCATCTGAATGTACATTAATTCTTTGACACAGTCAAAAGTCCCTTTTCCCCAAATTTGTGATACATTTTTGACTAGTCAGTAATACAGAATGAATATATTTAAATTTGGTTGTGATTATTTAGAATTTTTAAATATGTCTATAGTGTTTCTTAATTTATACTATATTTGTTCACAATACATATGCCGGTACAATTCTGGAAAATTCTTTTATGAACTTTTTTTGTTATTCTCAAGGTAGATAATTTATTTAAGTAAGTTGATCATAATTACTTTCACTTAATTTTTTAAAATCATAGATATTATAATATTATTTAAGGAAATGTAACTGATAGAGATGAGACATTCTTTTCTCCTTCTCAGAGTTTTTCCAAAGTTATTTTCCCCAATGTTTCCATTCTGATTGAACAAAATACAACACTAAATATACCAGCATTGACAAATATTGGAGTTCCTATTGGGCCCATTGACTTTCCTCTCACTGCAATTTTCCATATAGCAAAGTTGAAAAAGTGTATTTGAAGAAGTGAAATAGTCTCCAAATAGCCTGTGTAGGGTGATGCTGCCATTCCTAATGTCCATTTCTATTGTTAGAGAACTTAAAATAAAAACTACTAAGAACAGTTTTATAATCTTGTTGGATAACTTTTCTTTCAAAGTGATTCACAGCCTGGAGAAAAATAGCAAATTACCTAAAACCAACAAACCAAGGTATTGTGCAAAGCTCATTGGTTTGCTATTACCATTCTCCCAAACAAGTAATGTTCAGTGATGCAAAATAATATAGCCAGTTGTCTTATGAAAACGGATGAGATGATATTTTAATGTGATTTTTATTTTATTCTCAAATGCTTCATTCTTGGACATAGCAAGCTCTATTAAATATGACAGTTATGCCCAATCGGTCAGTTTGTGCTTGATTATATTAACAAAATGTGATTAAGTTAACAAATTGCTACGGTTGATTTTGTGTTCATCAACTTGGTTGTCACATTGCACACTGTGTGGTATATACCACACTAGCATAAAACCATAAAGAGAAGTATGATGGAGGTTTACCCAAGAGGAAGAATCTACATATCATCACTAGGCAATAAAATATTATTTCCCATAGCTTCACCACTCTGACTTCCTCAATATCATAGAAGGTAGACAGCTGTTTCAGATAACCGCTGAAACTAGATAACATTTAGATAAGCCTGAGACAAAACAAATTTGTTGTGAAGTAGAATTAAATTTAAGTATAATTATAGCTTTTATCACAGCTTAAGAAAATATTGCAAATCGTGAAGAAATATTTATTGTGGAAAAAATGACATATAATACTGAGGGCACAATGTTGTTTTTGAAGTCTGAGTTTAAAGACCTAATTTCATTCATTGAGATTCTATTAGGTACTCTTCCAGGTGCTTCAGATACAGCAGTGAAAAAAACAGACAGAGACCTGTAACTTGTGGAATTTACTTTGCATTGACAGAAGGCAAATAGAAAAAAAATGTTTAAATATGAATAATTGGTAAGCTTGTAGAATTAGAGAAGTGCAAGGAAAAAATGTCGAGTAGGGAAAGGAGTGGGTGATGGCGGGATAAAAAATTTTAAATGGGTAGTCAGGGTCCTCTGATTCAATATATATTTTGACATAATTTGAATAAAATTCTGTGATTCAGGGTTACCAAAACTCATATTACTTCTGCTTACATAAAATCATACTAGTTTTGGTAAAACAAGTCAATTGACTGCCATCCTGGCAAGAGATATTTCTATGTCTATTAGTTTTCTTGAATTTGGGATTTTTCTGGGATGTTTGAAAGTTGGCTTAGTTGTGCTATTTTGAAATCTGTCCAAAATTAACAGGCATACTGAGACTTTAAAAATGTCCTGTGACCCAATTTTTGGAACTGGCAGTAATATATCAAGCTTTTGTTTTTCTTGATACAGAAATTAGTACGAAGACTCTAAATTACTCATTGGCATTTTAGATCAGGCCCTTGGTCAACATCGTATTTCAATATCATGTTTTTGTTTATAAATGTTAGTAGTAACCTGGGGATACATTATAAAAAATACGATTTTGTGTTAACTATAAAATACTGAGTTTTCCTCAATATTTTAGAGATTTGGTGACTCTATCTAAAAATTTTACAAGCAAATTTGTATTACCAGCCTTTACCAACCTTTGGTGACTCACTGCTTTTCTCTTGTCAATAAAGCTAGAACTTTCAAACTTCAAGAAGTTGCCTGAATTTGCTCCTTACCACCCCATCTGTCACATGTCTAGGACTCATAAATAAGTAAAAACTAGAAAGTATGTTTTTATACTCTATCCATACCTTATATATGGTAGCGATTTTAATCAAATTCTCTCATTTTCACTCTCAAGAATAATACTCAGTTTTAGTCTCTTTTCATATGGCAGTCATCCTTATACTATCAATGACTGTAAACATCTTTATATAAGTGCTCTTAAGTCCTGCTGTATGTATCTTATGTTTAAAATATAACTGATCTGTAGGCTCTTTAGGTTTGCTTACTATTATTAGCACCTTTCCTTTGTATAAACAGAAGAGAAAATTCCTCTGTAGCAATGTAAACATGATGGTGAAGACAAAGTCCATCCTTCAATCAGAATAGGCTTTGAATAGTTCTGGAAATAAAAAGTTATTGCCTACTTTTTGGAGTGTGTGTGTGTGTGTGTGTGTGTGTGTGTGTGTGTTTTGCTATTTAATCAAATATGATATATGCATAGACATCTGGGAGAATGAGTGTGATCTAGTGACTATAAGGTTGGGACCATTTCCTTGGACTACAAACCCAGGAGATAATCTTTCTAAAATATGTTCAAATATAGTAGGATTGTTTTCCTTATGTTATATAATTCTTGCTTTAAAATATAAACTCTACCTTGAGGCAAACTTATATCTGGATCTATCGACAATATAGAGAGGTTTTATTTTCCTTTGCTATCCTGGAAAGTAGACACCTAATACCTTTCAAGACTTAACAGAGAATTTACTCTTCTTCTTTCCATAGGAGAGGGGTCTGTTAAAGATTTACCCATGAGAGAGTGATGCTGACAGGTTTTAATATCTACATGAATTTGGTGTGTATCAGTTGGTAACAGTCCCATCTTTTTTTTCAGGAGCAGGAGAATCTGGAAAAAGTACTATTGTGAAACAGATGAAGTAAGTACATACCATTTTAAATGTTTAATATTTGATGTCTCTCCATCTATTTGACCATTCTTGAAATAAATACTTTAGGGGGATCTGATTGATAGTCTAAATCATAGTTAGTAGCAGAGCTATCACAATTCCTGTGCAAAATGCTTCCATCCTTTAACAGAAAGCATCACAGATAAATAATGTTATAATTTCCACTTTTCTTTTAAATTTTACCTCTTAACAAGATGGATATTGAAAACATTTATGTTCTAACTATATTAATCTACCTATAATATAGGGCTTTAATATTGTGGCCATAAGCCATAAACGTTTTAAAATGTGTCAATGATCCTTTTGAATTTAGGAGGAAATAGTATTTTTACACTAATTACCATTTTGCCTATCTGGGAATAAAGTGCATATTTAAATTTAAATTTAAAACTATCCTAGATTTAAGTTTATTTTTGCATTTATTTTCTCTACATTTTTCTCTTTATAATAAAATAAGTAGGCCTGAATTTCCTCATGAGGAGATAATGAACACAAATGTGCTACTATTTAAGAATGCACTGTCTAAGGGAATAAAATGGCAACTAACAAGTGGAAATGAATATGTGAAACCTCATGGTTGTCCCTGCTGGAGAATTTTCAAGGATAATTGTTGCTATAGGAAAAGAAAATCATTTTGAGCTTATTTTAAATTATATGTTCCAGGATCTTGTTCTTTGGAACGTATCACATGAGGGAATGAACCCAGTCAGTGATGAAATTGTCTACTTATAATCTAAGCCACTACTTTTTCCTTCTTTCTAGGTAATAATGTCATGTGATTTTCATATCAACCAATATTTAAGCCCCACTTTTGAATTGTCACCTATATCTGCAACTAAATTTTTTACCTTTTCTCTTGTCTTTGAAGACCAGAACCCTTTTATCCCAATCACTGATCATACTGCTTTTGGGTTCTCGGCTCCATCCTTGCACCCAAATCATGTCTCAGTCCCTTATAACATGACCACTGTGACCACCTGTTTTTTTCCCTTCAGATTTGAATCTTGCTTGAGCCTCTCTTATCCTTTTAACCTCTTCATTCTTGGTGAGGTTAAATGCAATAAGAAAAGGAATGAATATTTCTCATTACCACTTGTAAAATCATGTTATAGCAAATTTATAGAAATGTTTTTTGCAATATACACAGTAAGCTGAGAAAATAATTGTTGATCTCATAAATGCATTTCTGAGAATTTTTAATAATGATTTCAATTTGAAAAAGTATACAAATAATATAAATGTGAAAATATATGCACAAAGAGATTTATATCAGTCTTATTTCAAATAATGAAATACAAGATAAAAGAAAATACCCTAAATTAAAATAAACCATAAGCAAATACATTGTGAAATTAAGGGATTATCCATCTTTCAGTTTGCAATATTTTGCATTCATTAGAAGTTATATGTATACGAGAATGTTTTAATTAAAGAAAATACTTATGTTCGAAAAAAGAAAGATACAAAGTTGCATAACCATCTTTATTGCAATGTCTTTACGACAAAATAATGTTTTTCAAATGTAAGAACATACACCAAGGTTCAAAGCCATTTACTCTCAATAGTGGAATTTAAAGTTACATTGCACCTTAGTTTTGAATATTGTTGGGCTTTTCACATTTTCTCCAATGAGCAGGTATTCTTTCTATTATTTAAAAAAATGAGCCTCCTGGTTCTGACCCATTTCTATTCCTTTTCTCAGAGTCTGTAAAAAATAGCCAACACCAGCTCTTTAATCTTCCATTTTCCGTTGACTCTTCAACCATTTTCATCACTCTTGCCTCTGGCATGTCATAGAAATTGTCCTTATAAATGTGATCTCCTAATTGCCATTTTTTATGAAGTGTTCTTTGAGCTTTTCCCTCTTAACACTTTAGCCTGGCTCCTAGGATGACTCTCTCTCCCAGCTCACCTCCTAACTCTGCTATTCTCCCTGATTCTTTGACTATATCTTAAATATTGGTATCACTAATGTACTAGGACTAGGTCCTTCTTCTCTATTTACTCTATACCTTCATCAGATGAAAATTGCTGGAGCCCCATGATTTTTACTATCACCCTCAAGAGGACTGTCCAGAATATTTCTTTCAAACTCAGACACTTTGTGTAGAGTACGGAAGCACATCCACCTGCCTCTGTAATTCTATGGCTAGGTCCAGATCAGAATAAACAACATTAAATTTATCTCCCCATCTGGCTTCTGTTTCCCTAAGTGAATTATAGCAGCACCAGCCTCTAAAGGAATAAATCTAGGTGTAGTTATGCCAACACTCACCGTCTCACCAAGTTATGGCACAAATGATGTCTCCCAATATGTCATTTATCCTTATTGTCACTCACTGTCATAGTTCAAAACCTCAGCATTTCTGACCTGGATTAATACAGTATCTTCTACCTCCCTCCTCTTCCTTCCACTTCATTCTTCATACCAACTGCTCTTTTTTTTAAAAAAATGAGTGTGTCTCTTTCCTGAATTGAACTCTTTACTTACACTCTCAATATCAAACTCCTTGCCATGGTACATAAGACACTTCAGAATTTAGCTCTTATCTATCTCATCATCGTAAGTTCCCCCATAATTTTGACCTTCCAATTTTCCCCTTCAGAAATGCTGGATTTATGTAGTTCTCCAGACTAGTGTACTACGGAAAAGAGTGTAGCTTAGTGGCTGAGATCATGGGCACTAAAATCAGAATGCATTTCTTGCCCAGCTGTGCAACTCACTAACCGAATAGGTTAAGGGTAGTTGCTTCAGGTATCCATGTCTACATCCCCAAGCCTATGTTCCCATGCTTAGGTGATAATTGTATCCACTTTAAAGGGCTTATTGCAAAAAAAATGAGAAGATAAGACAAATAAAGTAGCTAAAACATTGTGTGACACATAGTGAAAGCTTGATAATTGTGAGCATTATATTTGGTCATGCTGATTCTTCTGTCTAGAAGGTTCTCCTTCTTTTTGACTAATTAGAAATACTTATTTATCCTTGAAAAATCAACTGACCATCACTGTTCCCAGGCAGTCTCCCCGACCCTTACACCTGCTCCCAATAGAGTTTATCTCTTTTCCTTTTCTAGTTCATTGTACCACATGCAGATGTTATTGCTATGCATTATCACACTGTACAAAAATCCTATAATCCAGGACTCTCCAACTGAACTTTCTGTGATGATAGGAAGGTTATATATCTGTGCTTTCCACTATGGTAGCTCCTAGCCACGTGTCTATTAAGCTCTTGAAACATGGCTAATGTGATGAAGAAACTGAATTTTTAATTTTGCTTAATTTTAACTAATGTGTCTGGTGGCTATTGTACTGGACAGTGGAGCTCTGGTCTATATATTTTTGAAGAGGAGGGACTTGTTCATTCATTTATTTCATTCTCTTCAGTGCATAATAATACAGTATGTTACAGAAAATGTCCAGTGAAAGCTCATTAATTTGAACAGAGCTAGGAATCGGCTTGCAGGTAGAGAGCTCTATTTCACTTAAATATATTTATGCAGCCCCTAGAAAAACAATGTTTCTTCAAGTTCCACCACAACTGGGGTTTTTTAAAGTCTGCTTTTGTCATTTGGCTTTGTGATCGATGTTTCCTTATCCTGTGGTGAAAAGACAGGATAGAACTTGTTCCAGGAACAAAACCTAAATGCCCCCAAGTTTACCTAAAACTGCCATTTGAATTTAATAACTAAAACAAGTTTTCCAATTGTAACTTTTGATAAAGAACTGGGATTTCTTTAATATAGTTATTCTTGATCTATCCATAATGATATTTTACTGCATTTTTAATCTACAGTTGTCTATTTTGTTTACTTCACTTATTTGATTGTTTAATGCAGCAAGATAAATATAGCTATATTTATAGTAGAAATGCAGCAATTACTAACAATAAATTTTAAAAATAAAGAATAACTATAGGCACTGCCTTCACTTCTTTCACTGCAGAATTCTTGTATTTGAAGGTTTTAATAACGTGGAAGTCCCTGTGTTCTTTTTCCCCCTGTGCTCAAGTTCCTGTGTGTGTGTGTGTGTGTGTGTGTGTGTGTGGATATAAACCAAGTCCTTAATAACATGACATCCACAACGATGCCTAATGAGTACACATCACTTGAAAAACAATAAGAAAAAACCCCACAGAGGAACAAAAACACATCACGCACAATAAAGTAATTAGCATACGTAAAATTTTTTGCTTTTAATAGGCAAGCCTATTTTAATCTATTATTCCAAAACTATTAGTAAACCTTTAAGTTCTGATTGAATGAGTGGAAGGAAAAGAAGAGTTCAACCAAATAAAATGTCTGGGCGTTGCAGCTTTGAGCACTTAGTTGCTTGCGTACAGATGGGAAAGTGACAAGGGATGTAACAGCGGCCAATTACCTACATTTTGAAAAGATGCCTTTGTTAACTCTATAAATAGAAAGCAGGCACTCCTATTTTCCTGCATGTTTTAAGTGAGAGGAAAAGGCATGAATGTTATGTTCAATTACTTCACTTCCTCTAAACATCATCTTGTAAACACAACACAGAGCTTCAGAACTATGCATGCAACTTGGTTGCGGAAACCTGGAAATATTTCTCTTGAAGACAAATAGCTTTCTAAGTAAAATGCTCACTACTTACCTATTTTTCACAGTGGTTATCTAGAGAAAATGCTAAGTCCTCTTTATATTTAGCATGAGAAGCTCACAAGTATTATAGTAAGCCCGAATGATAATAAAAATTCAAAAGCCATATAATTGTTCAGATTTAGGATTACGTGTGGGCAAGATTCTTCCTTTCTTAACAAAATATATACTGTAATTTTATTTAAGCAAATTATTATTGATGTGTTTTACTATTACAAAAAAACAATTATTCCACTCACAAAAGTTTTTCATGTTTAAATTTTAGGATCATCCATAAGAACGGTTACAGCGAGCAAGAATGCATGGAGTTCAAAGCAGTCGTTTACAGTAATACATTGCAGTCCATCCTAACTATTGTGAAAGCCATGACTACCCTTGGGATTGATTATGTAAATCCCAAAAGTGCAGTAAGTATACAAATGATAACAGTATTAGGTCCTACAATGGAGTTTGAACTCTAAAACAGTAGGACTTAGTAGATTAGTACTAATCTATACCAAAAATTTAAGAATATGAAATATGAATTTTGGAAACATTAATTCTGTTTAGTGTAAGATTTCATATTTTCCTTTAAATGAAACTTTTCTTTTTGATTGTGTGCTATAATCTTATTCAACATTCACTGTTCCTAGGAGTCAACCTAAAATCAAATAATACACTATATTAGAGAAAAATACTGCTTAAGCTTGCTAAATACAAAAGAGTTTATTCCATAAAATCAAACTGCAGTATCTCTCCATTTATTTATTAATTTGATTATGAGTCATTTCATGGAGGCTTTACTTTTAATAAAAACACCACAATTATTATTTTTCAGTGATAATTACAAAGACTATATGCACAGGGAAATGATTGTTTTATATGTTAATTTTTTAGAAAAGAATTCAAAATTGTGTGAGTAAATACAATTTTTCTATAGTAAATATACTCAAGTAGCCATAGTTTTGTTTATAATGTAGCAACTAAAGAGTTTTGTTTTTCTTCTCTTTTATATTTTGTAATATAATTATTTTACATTAAAATATATTTAAAACCCACTAGCTTTAAAATAGCTTATGTGCAAAGTTATAGAACCATTTTAGCTGACAACTGAAACATATAGTATTATCCAAAGAACAATAGTTAGCCACACCCCAAAAAAAGAGTAATTGTGTACAATTAATAGGAAGAGCTCACCCATTTCTGTATTCCCCGCCAGGAACAGCTGATTGCATCCAGGTGTCATTTGAACTGTCCCCACTGTAATTCTTAGAAACCTTGTGATACTAACAATAAAAATAGAGACGAACAGTATAGTAAGCATAGAGAAAAAGTGACATTTGTACTTTCCTGTTCTTCACTTTGCCAGTAGTTTAGACCATGTAAATGACCACTGGAGGCCATTAGGATGAAAAGAAAAAGATCTCTTTCATGCTGCTAATTTTTTTCTTTCTTTTCCTTTTTATGTTAAATTATAGTTGGCGTACAATATTATATGAGTTTCAGGTGTTCAACATAGTTATTCAACATTTATATACCTTATGAAGTAATCACTGCAATTTATCTAGTAACCATCTGTCACCATGCAAAGTTATTATGATACTATTAATTATATTCCCTATACTGTACATTACATCCCATGATTTATTTATTTCATAATTCAAAGTTTTTACCCTTATTTCCCTTCACCTTTTCACCCATCCACCACATGAATGAAATCATATGGTATTTGTCTTTCTCTTTCTGAGTTACTTTACTTAGCATAATATCCTATAGGTCCATCCATGTTGTCACAAATGACAAGATTTCATTAATGTTTATGGCTGAGTAATAGTCCATTGTGTGTGTGTAATATAGATAGATGGTATAGATATAGATGATATAGATATATAGATGTAGATATAGATAGATATAGATATAGATACAGATACAGATATAGATTATAGATATAGATATATAGACATATAACAAATTCTTTATCCATTCATCTATCCATGGACACTTCATTGCTTCCATAGATAGGCTATTGTGAATAATGCTGCCATGAACATGAGTATGCATATATCTTTATGAATTAGTGTTTTTGTTTTCTTCTGATAACTACCCAGAAGTTGAATTGCTGCATCATATGTTAGTTTTATTTTTAGTTTTTTGAGGACCCTCATAATGCTAATTTTAAAGGAAATGGTAAATTCCATTTGGTTCTGTCCCTTTCTGACAAAAAGCATGGCAATGTCCTTAGGGCAAATAGTTCGTAAAGCAGAGCCAGACGTTCTTGCAGGACCTCTTTCCATCTTTAGCCTTGGCCACAATTTGGCTCCAGTGTCATCTGCTTCTCTAGGTTACAGCTTTCCTCTCACATGGACAAGGGGAACATGTAGAACTTGAACTCCATGCCCTTTCATTCTTTATCATTCTATGACTTAGTGATCATTTATTTAAGGGTAGTATATTTATCATCCTACTGTGGCTTTTCCTAAGAACCTAGGATTTTAAACTGGCCCTTAAAACTGGCATAATCCCTTTACAGAAATATACAAAAAAATAAAGGCCAAAGAGGATTAACAACTTGACCTCCCTTAAATTGCTGGAGTTTAGAATATAACCGACTTCTCCTGGTTTCCTTTAGAGAGCTTCTCCCTACACAAGGTGTTTTGTAAAAATACTTTTAATGATTAGGAATATTTCTTACATATTCTTTCTTTTAAACAGTAATAGTCCCTGAAACAGGTATTACTTCTACATCCATTTGAGAATGATTCAACATTTTAATTTGCATGTATAATATTCCATCTATTTGCATCACTGAAGTTGGAAATCACAACCTTGCCTATTGCTATTAATTTAAATATATTATACACTTCATACAGCCCAGCGTTTGCAAATAAGTGATACAAATTTATTTGCAACAACTAAAGACCTGAAATCTGTTGGTTAAAATCTTAATGATCTCGGCTTTCAGGTAAGGATAATAGACTCTGCACAATGCTGCCATTATACTGACTAATAAACAAAAATAAATGCTATTTATTCACACTGTACATTGAATGGAATAAACAGAGTAATGTAAGCAGTATTAAGCAATTAGCACAACTTCTCAGGAGTACCTATGTCCTCATCAAACATCACCATTGTCAGGCTTATATTTTTATTTAAACAAACATAAATGACAGCAGCTTCAATCACATTCTTTAGTAATTGATTTTAAGATTAGCATATTCTATGTCTGGCTTAAATTGTGTATTCAACAGATTAACTGCTGAACATTTTACCTAACGTGTGCCATTCAGAGTTATGACTTCATATGGCTTTCTATTTATCTTTCAATTTGTTTATTTATACCAGGTTATATATTCTTACACAACCATTTGTACATTATCACACAGACTGCTGTTCAAATAGAGAAAGGGTCTTGCTAGAAAATTTACATAAGATTTTTGGTCACTAGTTATGTAAGTTTAGACAAGTTACCTAATGTTGAAATTTCAGTTTATTCATTCACAAAATGTTAGTGCTTTCCTTATTGAGTTACAATGGCTGTTACAGAACAAAGCAGAAACATAAGAAATCCATTTTAATACAAAATATTGCAGAATGTAAGCTCCCAGTAAATATTAGGTATTACCACTTTTCAATAATCACTTTGTATATAGGCTCATTAAAATTTATGTATTGAAGTCAACACATGTATTATCATTTGAAAACAAAATTTTTCATTAAACTATTATTTATGTGGCAGACATCTGTCTGCCTAGACACTGAGGATATACTGCGAAATCAGAAATAAATGAGATGGAAATAGTATTTGCCCTCAAGAGAGAAAAGACTGATATTGAACAAGCAAATACAAAGCATCATCTATCTCAAAAGGGCATCGTAGTTGAGTGTGGAGGTAGAGCCTCCTCGTTCTTAGAAAGAATTACTGAGAAAGGGAATACTATCCCTAGTGGGGATGGGGGAGTACTAGTTAGTTTCATTTTGGAAATGTTAAATTTGTGTAAGCTTTGTGAGATCTCCACAGGTGTGAAGTCGCTAAAAATGTACCTCTGAAGGTCAAAAGAGCCATTTTGGGTAGAGATCTAAATCTTGGTGTTATTGGCATACACTGCAGCATATAATTTACACTAAAAAGTGGGGATGGCAAAAAACTAGGGCTTGGATGGAGAAGAGAATTAGGGAGACTAGAGACTTAGGTAACAGTTTTGAAAAACTCCAAGTATTCTGGTCATTACAGAGGAAAAAGAAAGCTTGGAATAGTAAGAGGAGAACAAGGAGTGTGTCGAATCACAAAATTCAAGAGAGGTATTCTAAAAGTAGGTTCTATATGTTGAAAGATCTTAAGAGATCAAGAATGAAGTATATTTAAAATAATCCATTGGATTTAATAATGTACAGATTATTGGGAATATAATGACAGAGGTTTCAAAGAGTTTGGACACAGAATACAATGAAGTGTGTTGAGAAATGAGAAGAGGATATGGAAACGGTTTCAGGACAACTTATGGAACTATAATCAAGGAGTAGGAGAGAGATGGGGTCTGCAGTTGAAAGGGAGCAGGTCCTTAATTATTTGGGTTTAATATTTGATAGACTAATTTCATGACTATAGAGCTTGTAAAGAGAGTAAAGCTGAAGAAACAAGAAGGGGGCATAAGAAAGGCATCTAGTAAATTTCTATTTATCCCCTCTGAATATTATTATATTCTATTTTACAACATCTGAAATAGCCACTAAACAAACATAAAAGAATGTTGAAAGTTATAACACTTCTATCACACAATTTGGGTATTTTGTAACCATCTTTGACATAGCTCCCTACAAAGTAAACCAAAGAGCATTGATTCCTCAAGATGTCCTATGATAAAACTTCTGTGATCAAATAGCCCTGAGATATTTACATACTGTCCAAATTCTTGGAAATTTGCAAACAATATTAGTATTCAAAGGCTCCAAAAGTCTGTCACACCAAAGAAGGCATTTCTTTCTTTTTTTAGCTGAGCCATCCTGCCACCTGTTGGCAACTCAGTGGCAGCTCAGCTCGGGCCGGGACTCGAACTGCTGTTGCTCAGAGCTCACACTCTTAACCAACTGAGCCACTAGGCTGGCCCTAAAGAAGGCATTTCTAAACTAGCAGTTCCCCAAGTTACTAGTTACGATATTCTTTCTTTCCTTTGACATATATTTTCTGCAATCTTTGAAAATATGACTCTAGGGTTCAGAATGAGTTTCATGAGGTTCTAAGACCACCTGAGGTCTGTAATACTGATGAGGAAGTTCAGGGTAATATGTAGAGAAAATATATATTTTGCTTTATATTTCCAGAACTATGCAACTTTTAATGAGCCATTTTAGAACTACCATAATTCCCAAGCTTTTCCAAATAAAACATAAGGGAATACATTTTTTTCAGGATGCCATTCAAACCTCTTTGGAGCTATTTGAAAAATGGGAAATTATTTGAGATCCCTTAAAGCTTTTCCAGGACACATCATCTGAGCTAAATAGCATTTTTATTTTATTGATTTATTCATTCAACAATATTTTAAGGACACACACTATGTATTAGGTTCTGTTCTCAGTCTTAAGGATGTAGAAATGAGCAAAATAAACAAAATCTCTGCCTTCAAGTGCTTACAGTCTAATGTAAAAGATATGAAATAAAGAAATACGCACTACCATATTTGCCGGCGTATAAGACGATTTTTTGGCGCTGAAAAATATGCCTCCAAGTGGGGGGTCGTCTTATACGCCAGGTACACTTCAGATAGACTGCCCATAGTGCTTGCCCCGTGCCATAGTGGCCTCCCGATGCCCGCCCACTTCATTCCACATACCGTTCAGGCATCAGCAGCACTGCTGGGTGTATGCTCGGCTGTTATGCGATTTTGCTGTTATGCGATTTTACCACACTCGCAAAATCGCACACAGCCGACCATATAACAAACTCTGTATTTTGAGTGGAAATGTTAGGGGGTCGTCTTATACGCCGAGTCGTCTTATACGCCAGCAAATACGGTACATAAGCAGTAAGTAAGTACTATGAAGAAAAATGAAGGAGGGTAAGGGGCTCGAGAAAGAATGGAAGAATAGGTGGCCATGGATGGTATCCCGGAGGGGGTGGTATTTGGGAAGAGACCTGAGTGGAGTAGGAAGTGAACAACAGGAAAGACACAAAGGGAACAGACAGTCAAATGCTCTGAAATTGGCGGCTTGGTGAGTTCAAGAACAGTAAGGAGTCCAGTGCTTCTTTTCTTGAGGAAAGGGAGGGAGAGAGAGGAGGAGGAGGGACAAAAAGAGGAGAAGGATGAGGAGTAGATTTTTAATGAAACAGTGAAATAAACCTGTCATCAATTTAAAACAATAAAAATTAAATTGTATCAGAAAAGCAGCAATTTCTTTTTCGATGTATTTCATTGGTAGCCACCTGACAGTGTACAAAGTATGTTTGGGTTCGACTCTTCTTCTGATGCTTATCATTTTTATTGGTTTGGCAAACTGACCTCCTAGTTTTAGATTCCTCATCTGTAACATGAAAAAAATATAGTGTCTGTATGACTGTTATTGTGAGTGTTGTATGAGATAGTACGTGCACTCATTGTCTCGTAAATATAACAATATGTGCAAGAAAGAGCATGGGCTTTAGAGTCTGACAACCAGAATCTAACCCTAGACTTTTTCATTTGCCTGGTCTCATATCATGGTCAATAATTATTCTGAAATTTAAATTCATAATCTGAAAAACAATTGTCATAAAACAGTTTTAATTATTAGTTTAAATAAACTATGGAGTATATTATTTATTCGACGTACTTGTATTTCTTTCCGCTCTTGTCAGCTCCAAATATATCATCAAGACTAAGAAAATGCTTACTTTCTTTTCTTTTCTCCTCTTTTCTTAATGAAGTCTGACCTCTGCCCTATTGATTTGCCCCAAAAGCATGCAATTAACAACACTTACATGGATGTTCAAAACTTTGTGTGTCTCAAAATGTTTACTATTATTTATTAGTATGATTACAAAGAGGTACATGATGGCAAATAATATTGTATATCAATTTTTAACTACAGTTTTAGAGTATTGCATTTTATTTTCCATTTTTACTCTAATTTTTGGAATTTTATTTCCTAGAAAAAAACATGGCCATGATCAAAGGAAAATAAAATGCCAGTTTAGATCATATTCATTACCTGTTTACTAGCATTTTGACCCTCTGAGGGCTCAATGGACTTACACCAAATTATTGTTATCCCTTTTCATATCATATTCAGAAGTTAGTGATATAAATCAAAATATTCTAATTTCTCCATATAATTTTTCACAGTTTTTGCAATGGAAAACTCTTCTGTGCATTAGCCAGCCATTATAAAGAACCTCAGTTCTATTAACCTTAAGATATGTTGAATATATGTTCAATGGAATTATTTAAAAGAATAAAATAAAAATCATCCAATGGAAATGCTCTGTTTACAAAAAAAAAAAAAGATACGTGATTCCAAATAAAAACACGTTTTCATTCTTGTCACAAAACCACTGCCACAGGGAGACCAACAACAACTTTGTGCAATGGCAAATACCCTGGGAGATGGTGGCATGACACCTGAACTGGCCGAGGTAATAAAACGATTGTGGAGAGATCCAGGAATTCAGGCCTGCTTTCAAAGGTCATCGGAATATCAGCTCAACGACTCAGCAGCTTAGTAAGTAAATGCATTTGGACAGGAATTATTGAAACATTTAAAACTAAAAATTATAACTCTGCTCTTCCCCCTTTCCTTCTACCCCACTCGCCCAATTTGCCCACCTTTGGGTGATTAGGTTTGCGGGTCATATAGGCTGGTCTCATATCAAATGAATTAACTCTCTCTCCTAGCAAGTTTGATAAGGAGGCAGTCAATTATCTCCTCAAAGTCATTAGTAAATGGGTTGAACAGGTTAGACCAAGGACCAGTCCCTGTGTTCTTCCACTTGGCATCCCCATTGACATCAATCCTTAATATCATCACTCTTTGGTCTTGACTGCTGAGTCATTTATGTGTCTAACTGTATTATTATATAAACCAAATATTCCTGTAGTATGGTTTTTTCAGATCCTCTCTGCAGCATTTCCCAAATCCATCATTCTAGAAGATGTGTTGCTTATTTATACAACTAGATCATAATGTAACAAACTATAAGTAATAGTTTAACTTTAAAGAATGATTCTAGAATTTGAAAGCATTTCTTCAAGCACTGAGTGAAATCCTGGAGCTAGCTCTCCAAGCCAAATCAGCAATTCTCTATTTCTTTACTCAAGAATCATTTTGTAATCTTATTTCCACAGAACTCAATTAATTATTTTGTAGTATTTCTTTTCCCCCCATTTCACATCTATAATGGGACCACCAGTTTGTCAGCCCCATAGTCCTTCACTTCAGACCATATCAAAACCAATTATTCATCTCTTTTGTCATCCCATCTCTTCTTCCAAAGCAGTGTTTTGAACCATGTGACCTACATATGAATCACAGTTTTCTGTAATTCCCTGTAAAACACTAGTTCATACTCAGGCCTCACCAGTCTTTGTGTTAAATTATCATTTTAATTCCCCTCTTCATAAATATTTGATAACAACTGTTTGGTTTTAGAAGAATACCTTTTTTTAATTAAAGTTTATTGGGGTGATAATTGTTAGCAAAGTTACATAAATGTCAAGTATACAATTCTGTAATACATCATCTATATATCACATTGTGTGTTCACCACCCAGAGTCATTTCTATCATTAGAATATGATTTTTAAAACATGCAATTACTAAAAGGAAGCAATTTTTATATTTATGTGAGATATAGTGACATAAAAAATGAAAACAAAAAAATTATAACTCTACTACTATGTATTTGATTGTAATTGGTTTGGTGTTGATGAACTCCTTTAGCTTTTTCTTGTCTGGTAAGCTCTTTATCTGTCCTTTGATTCTAAATGATAGCTTTGCTGGGTAGAGTAGTCTTGGTTGTAGGTCCTTACTTGTCATCATATTAAATATTTCCACCCAATCCTTTCTGGGTTGGAAAGTTTCTGTTGAGAAATCAGCATACAATCTTATGGGAGCTCCATTGTAGGTAACTAACTGCCTTTCTCTTGCTGCTTTTAAGATTCTTTCTTTTTCTTTAACCTTTGCATTTTAATTATGATGTGTCTTGGTTTGGGCCTCTTTGGGTTCATCTTCTTTGGGACTCCCTGTTCTTCCTTGCCTTGTATGCCTATTTCCTTCACCAAGCCAGGGAAGTTTTCTGTCATTATGTCTTCAAATAGGTTTTCAATTCCTATTAGGTGTTTTCTGATACATTATCTTTTAAATCATTGATTTGACCCTCTGCTATCAAGTAGGGAATCTAATCTACTGTTGTTTCCCTCTAATATATTCTTTATTTCAGTTATTGTATTCTTTATTTTTTACTCCTTTTTTAATGTTTTCTATCTCCATTTTTGTTTCCTATCTCTTTATTGAAGTTCTCCCTGAGTTCACTGAATATCCTTATAACCAGTGTTTTCAACTCTGCATGTTGTACATTGCTTCTCTCTGTTTTATTTAGTTCTTTTTATGGAGTTTTGTTCTGTGTTTTATTTTCTCTGTCTCCTCATTTTTGCTACCTCCCTGTATTTATTTCCATGTATTAGGTAGGATTGCTATGTCTCTTGGTTTTAGCAAGACTAGGTGTTCTGTGGGGCCAAGTGGTGCAGTCTTTCTGGGCACCTGAACCAGATGTTCCAGGTGTGTCACTTGTGTGGGTTGTGTGTGTTCTCCTGTTGTAGTTGAGCCTTGGTTAGCTTGCACATCAGTAGGAAGGATTGACCTTCAGGCTGATTGTTTGTGAGGACTGGACATGACTACAGTGGAGAATCTGTTGTGCAGGGACTGACCCTGCAAAGCAGGAATTGCTTTAGCAGGTCTCTGGTGCCTGCCCAGTCTGCCATTTGGGTGTGTCATCCTTGGAGGCGGCCAGATGATACTCCAGCTTGGTCTGGAGCTGATCACCAGTTGTGCCAGCTCTGGGGTCTACTAGGAGCGGCCCCATCACAGGCCAAGTTCGGCCACACACAGCCTTTGCCCTACCCAGGGCCACCTGACATGAGCCACAAAGCAATACACAGATGGCCACCACCCATGCTGGGCCTGGAAGTGCCTTGTGAGGTCAAGCTGCAAACTGAGGCTGGCTGTCACTAGTACCAGGGTTGGGGCTGCTCAGGAAGAGGTGTGGGACACACCAAAGTCAGATATTGCCTGTTTGGGTTTTGTGAGTCTTTGAGAGACTTTAGGACAGTCCACAGCATGAGCCAAGAAAGGACATTTGTATGGAAAATCCACTTGAAGTGGCTTGGGTATGCCCACAATTGAATGGAGAAAATCACTATGGTTGGGAGAAGAGTGTTAGCCAGGTTGATAGAGACTTAGATGTGGCGACCACCTGTGTCTCACATCAGGATGAAGGATTGCTCATTAAAGAAACAATGGCTTCTGACTGCACTTCTGTCTGGGAGAAAGTTCCCCCTTCAGCCCTCACTCTCAAGCCATACAATTGAGTTGCTGCCCATGTCCTTAGCAACTTTTGAGTTTTTGCCCCAGATCTTGCACTCAGGGTGATTGAGTCTTTCAGTAAGTAAGTTCCTGCATTGGGCCTTTAAGAGGAGAGCCTGGGACCTCAGAATCCTTCCATTTCACTCAGCCACAGTCTCCACTGGTTTTCACAGCCATAAGTTATGGGGGCTTCTCTCCCTGGCACTGGAACCCTGGGCTGGGGAGTCTGGAGTGAGACTGGGACCCTTCACCTTCTACAGAGGGGGCCTCAGCAGCTGATATATCCCTCCTGATTCTTAATGGTCACACATGGGTGTGGGGCCAGCTCAAGCCATGTCTCTACCCCTCCTACCACTCTTGAGGTGGCTTCTTCTGTATGTCCTTAATTGTAGGGCTCCAGTTCACCTAGAATTCTGATGATTCTCGATGATGGTTGTTCTGTAGTTTAGTTGTAATTTTGTTGTGGTCATGAGAAGAGACAAACACAAGCACTCTACCATCTTGACTAGAACTATCATGTTCATTTTAAATGGCATAACCTGATGGGCACATTGCCATTGGAGGAAAGTTCTGCTCTTGTTCTCTGTGATAAGGTAGAGAATGGATATCATCCTGTGATTATATAACATTTAAGAACTGTTTTTATAAGGTCCCTAGTCACATTTTAATACTGAGAGGGTTCTGTGTATATGGAAAACATTGTTTTCTATATAAATAATCGATAAAGACAGTCACATTTAATAAGAAACTGAAATATGCAATATTCTCATAAAATGTTGCTTTTTAAAGTTCTAAGAAAGGAGGAAGAGAAGGTTAAATGAATTATTGGGTTGTCGAAATAGTCATGATGCATTTTTGCAATGAAAAACATAGAAAAAATATGTCATGACTTTTCTGACAACCCAGTAGATAGATGGATAGATAGATAGATAGATAGATAGATAGATAGATAGATAGATGTAATGAGCTTTGGATACACATTATTAATTAAACATGATTTTTCCTTAAAATACTGTAAGGAATGTATTTACAATTATATTATCATTATGTTTACCAAATTCTTTGCTGTTTGATAGCAAAAGATGTTTGCATATTGTATAGTCAAAATGGACATTTTATTGTATTTTCTAGGCTTTCTAATATTTAGTTTTAGCTTTTGTTCTTTGTTTTGACACATACCGGTATGTATTTTACACTGGGAGTATTTATCACATCATAAAGTTGTATTAAAGCCACAGTCTCAACTGGCTTTCACAGCCAGAAGTTATGGGGAATTCTCTCCCCTGCACTGAAAAGCATTTACCTGTTTTTCAAGAAAAACACATGTACATAATATCTATTTGCTCCCATCTTGTGAGTGAGCCCATACTTTCATGGTTTTTAACTACCCAGGTTGACTTGCAAGACAGTAGAATAACAATAGAAAAGTTGATTTCCTACCTCCTTCTATATGTCTAAGAAAGGTTTCATAGAAAATTTAAATGACTAAATGTTAACTTTTTTATGGGTTGTTTTTTTCCTCTTAGGGGGTCCTTAAAAGGAATATTAAGTAAAAGTTTGCTAAGAAAAATAGTTGAATGGCTATTGTGTTCTTCCAGAAATCAACAGCAAATTTTTCTCAAATACTGGATGATATTCACATTTTAAAACTAGTTCCATATCTATGTCTATTTAATATGCATTATATAATGCAATGCTCTCTTTTTTCTTTCTTTTCCTTCTTTCGTCTCTCTTCCCCCATCCTTTTTTCTTCTTTTTTCTTTCCCTTCCTTTCCTTCCTTCCTTCCTTCCTTCCTTCCTTCCTTCCTTCCTTCCTTCCTTCCTTCCTTTTCTTTCTTTCTTCCTTCCTTCCCTTTCTTTCTTTCTTTCTTTCTTTCTTTCTTTCTTTCTTTCTTTCTTTCTTTCTTTCTTTCTTCCTTCCTTTCACTTTTTGATGAAAGTGAAATATTTGTAATTCTCGCAAATGTAAAGACTTCAATTTGAGGCTGAGGTGAGTCCTAATCAGTGTAAGAAAATTGTGTCATAAAAATTTTACCAGTCTATAACTATCTCTATTTAACAGTGTTTGTTGGCAACAAAACACCCCACCTCACCCCATCACTACTAGCAAACTGAAAGAAAAGCATCTGGCAAACAGATCAAAACAGATCAAAAAGATTTTAATTAATACTTCATGGTTCACCGATTAAGGCTGTCTAGTGTGCCATTTGAATTCCATATGCTTTAAAATTTAGCATAGACTTAACCAGGAAAAATACTATTTTACATGATTAGAAAAAGAGTTAGACTTTTTTAAGTGATTTGAATTATATGTATTTAGGGCCTCTGGTTTGGTTTAAGTTTTAGACCACAGGCTTTAGCATCCAAATTCTATATTTGTTTATTAAAACAAGCATTTGCAGGCAAATTTGTCACTCTGCTAAAGCTTCTCTTTTGCTTGAAATCATTTATACATGCAAATAAAAGTACATTAAAACGTGTCTTTACCAAAGCATTCATTTAGCTCATTACAATGAATTTAATCTCTATCATGGCAGGTATGTTTCTGTTTTATTTTTGTTTTGTTTTTGCTTCTGCATGAACTAAATGACCAGCTGTATACCTACCACATATGCAGACATAGTCAATATAGAATTTAGAAAGAAACTTGATTCACAAAATAAAAAATACACTAAAATAAAAATTTTTTAAAGAACATTCCCTATCATAATAAAAAAAGAAAATAGATAAACTAGAAAAGTTTTTCTGTACTTTTTAGTGATATATTTATATCTTCATTTGTCTCCTTTTAAAAAATGTTAAAGTTTATTAGAATAATAAATGGTGATAAATTTTCACATTATACACTCATGGGTTTCTAAAGAGTGATTGTCTATTTTCCCTTGGCCAAAATCCCTCTGGGGCACTTGTCTATCCTTAATTTGTTTCAACTCAAAAACAGAAACACCCTCCTAAAATAAATTCTATATATTGCTGTTGAATTTATTTTTTTTAATGATAAAATAGCTTTGTTTTTTTAACGCATTGTGCTAGGTACTAAGACATAACAGCTCTACAACTTAGTCCCTGAAAAATTCAACTTTTGAATAATAACTAATATTCAGTTTGATTCTATCTCTCAAATTCTGTCTGGTTGGATGGATGCCCATCATGATCTTTCTGTTGGAGATTTTGTGTAAACTTGGTTAAATAGTATAGTCAATTTTGTCATAAAAGCCTTACCAGGCTATTGCTATCTCTATTTCACAGAAATAGCCAAGTTGCTAAGCTATGAAAGCCTTTGCATTAAAAGTCTAGAATAGAGGTTTTCAACTGTTTATAAAGCATTAAAACACTTTGTTTTAGTCTTAAATCATTATCTGGTTTCAAGGATGAAACTAAGAGTGGGTTCTTTTATCTAATCTAATAAACTCTTCTAGACCACACAGCTAATCACTCATTCCTGGCTCTTACCACTCCTAGATCCTGTGGGCAAAGAAAAGACAGTATTCAGCCTGGTAACAGTAGGGTTTTTAAATATGGCTTCAGGGAAAGAGTGAGACAACAATGTACTGATGGAAGAGGAGGTAGAAATGGCTACAGTGTGTAGGTTCAGCTTTCTGTCCCCAGGAGTGCTGGCTCAGGAGTGGGTCAGCAATTTTATGAATTAGTTCCAGTGCGAATCAGCAAGAAAGTCAAAGGTTCTTATTTTATGGAGCTAACTGGATATAATCATGGCGCTTAATAAAAATTGTTCAGAGTCCTAAGCTAGACAGCCAATGGAGAAACAACACAACAGCTTTCAAATTATAATGTTAAGACCAATCATTCTTAAAATTCAAAGTGCCTAAATACCAACTACAACATTTGTGAGACTAGTCTAGTGACCACCATTACAAGGTAGCATTTTTTTGGATGATGAAACTTCTATAAAGATAACTTTTCTCTCAAACGTCTATCTACCCACCAACAAATTTATCACACATGATAAAATACAAGCTATGGCAACATGTATCTATCTACCTTTAAAAGAGACCCGACCCCATGAGCCAGCTGTGTGCCCGTCAGCACTGAGCAACATCCCAATCACCAGGCTCTTGTAATTCTGATTCGCAGAGTTGGAAAATCACCAGTCTGTCTGGAGTTTAATAATTCTAATGGACCCTAAACAAAAAGTCATTTTTACTGAATCCTGGTATATTCACATGCAAAGTTAAAAGCATATGTGCTATTTTCTCTTTTGTTTTTATTAGCTACCTTAATGATTTGGACAGAATAACAGCTCCTGGATATGTTCCCAATGAGCAAGATGTTCTACATTCTCGAGTGAAAACAACTGGAATCATTGAAACTCAATTCTCCTTTAAAGACTTGCATTTCAGGTATGATCAAATATCTTTTCTAACTATGAACAGAAATATGTATCAGGTTCCACATTTCCTCACAGAGAAAAGCGCTAGCCCATGTTCAAGTGCAGTGAGTCCTTGGGCATGCTCACTAGGCCCAGTTTACTTTGTACCACTCTCTTCTATTACCCTCCTGTAGCCCTGCATGTAAACCCTCATCCTGAGTCTCATCTTTATCTCCAAGAAAAATACTCCTGTCTTGAGCAGTTGGGAGCTCAATTTTATCTTCCCCATACTTGAAACTGATACTCTACTTTGGAAAAAAAAAAAAAAAAGGAAATATATTTAAATAACACTTCAGCAACAGGTGCCAGAGATCCTATTTCCTTTGCCTTCCTACTCTCCCATTTGCTTGAAATAGTCTTATTAATTTGTTTCCTTAATTTAAAAATGCAAATCATTGAGAAGAGCATTATTTGAATGTAATGGTATCTACTAGAACAGCAAGGCCTGTTTTATAAGCATTGTTTGGGTATGAAAATGAGTCCACTATATTTTCATTGCCATTGCATTATCAAGACTCTCCTAGAAATTTTATTGCAAAATTTCTCAATTACTATTCCAGGAAATAGAAATCCATACCTTAGTGTTAGAAACTGTCCCCTGACACGTAAGCATCTCTTCCTCTGAATTGTGGATAAGATGGAATATTAAACATTAAAACCAGGTTCTAGATTTATCTTTTAGTAAAGAAAAGAGTCAATAAAATATAATTAAAGCCATTCACGTATGCAACAATGTGAATATTTCTAATAGAAAACCTAGAAAAAAAGTGACACATTATTTGCATCAATTTGTGAGGAAAATTTTATTTCAGCAGGATAAAAACTTTCACATATTTTAAGTATTAAAATGGGTGATACATAATATCTAGTTAGACTAATTATTACATAGATGGCCAGGATATTTTCAAGTTAATATGGAAGAAAGTTCTTCAAAATGTATCCATAAATTTCAGGCCCACAGATAGTTAATTTTCTGAAAAATGAGACAACAATCAAACCAGCATAAAGGGACCGCAAAGATTGAGATAGACGTTTCTTCAGTCCTGTCATCACTGTGGTGTTGGTCCTTTTGGCAACAACTTTCTTTGATTCAGTTTTTGGGTTTTCCTTTGAGATCCCACATCCAATTGCTTCTCCCCTCTGCCCCTCCTAAGCCTGTCAAAGCATTTTTGGCACACTCCATTTTTTTTTTTCTTATTCTCCTCCTCTTCTCCAAACTTCTCACTGAAACACAGACTAGGAGCCAGGTGTAGTCTTACTGAGTTTCCAACCCCAGGCTCTTTATTCATTAGCAGCAGCTGTTGAGGAGCTAGGTTACCTTTCCTCTTCTTGTCTAATGAGTTTGCTGTAAAGATTAGATGACATAAAGTTCTAGCAGAAAGTTATAACCTGATGTTAGCTTATCTTGCATGTGTTAATGAATTTTCTGGACCCTAGATTGTCTGGATCATAAACCAGTTTTAAACATGAATGCCACATGTTGAACTCCTAGAAGTTCACAACCCTCGTCATTCTCTGTAACAACCGATTTAGTATCTTCTCAGAAATAGTCACTATCATAAATTATCTTTACATTTTAATCACTTTCTAGAACATTCCAAGCCTTAGAGCCTTTGCCCTTGCTGTTTTCTTTGACTCAAAGCTCTGACCTTGGATCTCTGAGAGGGCTGGCTCCTTCTTATCATTAAGTCTTCAAGTCAAGTGCTATCTCCTCAGTGAGCCTTGACCATCCTGTCTATTAATCAACCCTGTGTATCCCTGTTACTACCACACAGCAGTGTGCTGGTAAACAGGCTCTCAGGGGCAGGGGGAAAGGGAAAGGCTGGTTTGTGGCCCTTGATGATTTCTTTGGTATAAATATTATGGCAATGGCCAATTGCAACCTACCAATATGGTGTCACTAAATGCAGAGTTGAAGAGAAATGGAAGCAAACAGCTCTTACTAGCCATGCCAGTGTGAGCTGGTGCCATGACACCATAGATATATCACAATATTTTTTTTTTCTCTTTTTAAAAACTTACTAATATATGAAATTATCTTGTTTCTTTATCATTTTGCTTTTTTTTTTTGGTTTCTGTTTCTGCTTCATATGCTCTGAGCTCCAGGGGGCCAGGGGCCATATCTGTTTATTCCTCTATCTTCTGTAATTATCACCAGGGCTAGCACAGAGCAGGCATACAGTCGATTCTTGTTGGATGAAGAAATGTACTATGCCAAACACTTTATGTATATTATCTTTACATCTTCATTGTAACATGATGAATGGGGCATTGCTATCAGTATGTAGGGTAAAGAATCAAGAAATGGAAGCCAAACAAAGTGAAAGATTTCCCCAAGATAATGCATAGCAGTGCTAGAAATGTGATTAGAATGCACAGAATTCTAACTTCTTATGCTGCATATCATTGATGGGCTATTGGGGTTTTGAATCCACTCTTTTTTTATAAAGTAGATGCTTCTTCCAGTTTTGTTGGTCATTCATAATACCCTTCAGAGAGAAGCGGGAAAAGGGAATTAAATGAAATGACAGCTTGTTGATGAGGTATCTTTGAGTTGGAAGGGTTCTGTGGGACTTCACATGTCTGTGCTTCTAAAACTGGGATATGTGATAATTGTCAATGAACACACAAAACCTCAGAAATCATGTTCATTTCTGAACATCCATTTAATCCAGTACTAAATAATATAAATATTTGTAAATTTTAAAAATAAATATTCTGAGTAGGATACATTTGCATTAATTTATTTAAAAATTAAAGCATTGTTTTGAGGATACATGTTTCTTATTAATAGGCCTCTTCAGATTATACCTCTAGACCTCCACTGGTGCATGATCATTTTACTGTCCTGTAGCTCTGTGGTTACTTTTGTTAAGCATTGTCTTATGTTATATAAGTAGGTGTTTTCCTATTTTGCTTTCATATATTGCTGCCCCTTATGAAGGAATAAGAAAGGTCTTGCTAATTCTCTATTACAGTATCAGTGCCAAAATGTATGGTATTTGTGAAATGGATTGTGAAGCCCAGTTAGCACTTATTTTGACATAACATTTTTTATACTACACTACTATTACCTCTTTGTCATTCACTAGAACAGATTTTTGAGCTCTTTTGTTTCCTTAATAGGTTTTGCTTTCTTTTTTACTCAAGAGGGTGTATTATTAAAGCCATCTTCTATGAGAATGCATGGAATTTCTCTAAAAAAGTGTTTAAACATTAGCATTTTGAAAATATTTAAATTTTACTATATATAAAAAACACACTTATATTTTTTTATGGAACTCTTTAAAATCATTTAAATATGTTTTTAAGTTTAATCTTTTAAATTTAGTCATAGCAATTAGATATATTAATCCCTTAATAAATCTTACAGTTAAATCACCTTTTGGGGGAAAGTGCTGAATAGAATCATCCAAAAGCATACAGGTTTTTGTAGTATAAAATTTTGTAGTATTTCTATATAGAAAGTATAAAAATAATGTACCTTTCAACTTCATTTTAGTAAGTGGTTAGGTACTAAAATATATTACATTAGCATCAATTTGTATTCACATAGCATAAATCATCCTATGACTATTTAAAATTAGAGACTTAATTTACATATTAAATTACAGAACTCTAGGGTTTTAAACAGAAACTTCAAAGTGAAAAATTATCTCTGCTAAAGTACTGTATCACCTTCATGTATCAACTAATTTAATGGAAATTATCTTAGAATTCTTACCAAACCAGAACTCCAATTGTCAAATTGATAAAATAAATTATCATTACAGATAGTAAAGTACTATATAAATGGAAAATGCAATGCAAATGTGAGCCCATTTATTGCTATAAAATAATTCCTCAGAACAAAGAATTTATAGATATACAGGACTTATTAAACAATTATAGAGAAGTCACTTTCTCCTTAATTGCTCCATGATCACAAAACAGAAATTGAAAGAACATAAAACTATAAGGGAATCAAGGAAAAAAGGTCAGCAAATATTACAACATAGAGCTTTAGATTTTGTAAATTTAACGTATCTATTTTCAACAACTTTTGAGTGGATCAGATATGAAATAAATTATAATTTTACTGAATTTAAAGTTGAATCATGGACTATGTTCATGTTTTTGGGGTAGGAATTAGCTCAGGAATGAATGAGTCTGGTGTCTACACAGAAGCTATACTTAGCTTTGTTATTCTCTATTAGGTTTCATAGAGCAGTAACTCATGTATACTATCTATTTCCAGTATGTTCATGGTTAATATTACCAAAATAATAATCTATATACTATAATGTGTAATTTATTCTAGTGATGTAATTTATTTTAATGACTTAATTACTTACATTATTCAATAATTAGAGAAATATCTAGTGGGCATTTAAACTTCTAAACACACACACACTCACACACACACACACACACACACACACACACACACTTAGTAGAAAGTATACAATGTTATTAACAATTAACAATTACAAAAGTTTAGAGACCCTGGCTACCTTACCTTTATAACTCCTTTTGATTTTGTTTTATTAACCACAAACAATTAAGGAATTCAGAATGATCTCTGTTCTTATACTTTGTGTCTGCAAGTACCTACCCTGAATTTTAGAGCTGGGCACAAGCAAAAGACTTGGTTAGGCCATTTTGCTATGGTTGGGTAGCGATGGCACAGATCCACTTGTTGGCCCTGTCAGATGTAGCCATCTTAAGCAGTCATACCAATTGAGATGTAGCCAAAGATCTTGAATAAATCCCACTCAACAAAATAGTTTTAAATGAATTTCTACTCAGATTAGATCTTATTATTCTGTGGTCAAATAAATGAAGATGTCAGCAAGTATGATTTTTCTAAGAGAGTCACATGCTTACAGGATGAGCAAAATCATCTAACAAATTAGCTGCAATAGCATTATTGAGTTTTAGCTATCCTACATTATGTAATGATTTTGCAAGCACTATAAAGGGCAGATTATT